TGTGCCATAAAAACAAATTCAATTTTAGTAATAAGAAAGGAAAGCAAATATTGATATGTAGTTTTAATTGTAATTGTTCTATCTATTTTTGTTGATATTTTTTTTATGTTACATACATATATCATGAAAAAAAATTGTTACTGAATATACCTAATTTTATTTGTTAAACAAAAATCAACTGATGTTTGATGTCAAACCATGTAACTTTAGTAAATCATTTGTAATATGCCGAACCATTTTTATTATCTTAAAAAAAAAAATGATGAAATCATTGTTATTATCTTTTAAAAAAATCCACCATTTAAATTACTATTGGTAATTCAAAAAATATGCTTAATAATGTTTAATTGAAATAATATGCCTATTTAAATTATTATTTCTTATTAAAAAAATTGCCAAACCATTGTAATATGTCTAACCATTGTTATTATCTTTAAAAAAATTCACCATTTAAATTACTATTGCCTATTCAAAAAATATGATGAACAATATTTAAATTTTTATCATCACACACATTTCGGTTTTCCTTATTTTTCGATTTCCATCGAACAGTCAGTAGAAGTAAATTGGCCATAACTTGCTTAATAAAAATCCAATGGATGGGTGATTTGGATATTTTGAAACTATATAGATAGGGCTTTAATTTGATATATTATACGCTGAATTTGGATATCTGTAGACCCGCTTCTGAATCATTCATTTTATAATCACAGCATAATATGTCAATCACGACATATTTCATCATATGGCGAAAATGGGCTTGGGTCCTCATCAAATGGTTACCAAGGGCCTGGATCTTCCAGACAAGGCAAGCCCAAATTTTATTGTGACTATTGCAAACGCCGAAATCACAATTGAGATCACTGTTGGAAGCTTCATGGGTGCCCAACCAAGGACAAAAATGGCAACATCAAGTGTCCCACAATTCTTTAGAAGATCATGTCTCAACACCCTTGATCAGCTAAGCAATACACTTAGCTTCTACAAATGTTGAACAACACCCTTCAAACATCAAAATCCTCCTATGCAGATGCATCTTACTGTCTTAATCTTATCACAAATTATGCTTGGATAATTGATTCAGGAGGTAGTGATCACAAAATTTGCAATCCATAATTTTTCCATTCACATACCATAAATACCACTGGCACTTCTGTCCATATGCCAAATGGCAACATTGCCCCTGCCACCCACATAGGCAATGTTTATTTAACCAACCATTTAGTACTTAAAAATGTACTATGTGTCTTGACATTTCATTTCAACCTTATTTCTGTGTCTAAACTCTATTAGGATAATAACTGTCGTTTACATTTTCTACCTTCAAAATGTGAATATCAGGACTCTTTGATTGGGAAACCGATGAGCTTGGGTAGGGTCAATAATGCATATGTCTTTACTATTGGACTCCTGATGTCTCTTCTACTGTTTTTTCTTATTTATCCAAATGTACTACACCCAATAAAATTTCTTGTAATACAAATATTAATAAAAGTTCTCTTATTTTACATCAAAGACTGGGTCACATTGCTTTCATTCCATAGCCAAAGTGTCCCATTTTCCCTCTAGCCAAACAATCCCGAAACACATTTCCCATCAGCACCACTACAACCAAATGTCCTTTTGCACTCATAAACTTAGACATTTGGGGCCCATATGACACACCAAACCATGATGGGGCTAGGTACTTCCTTACTATTATCGATGATTTTTCCTGCGATACATGGGTCTTTCTCATGCAAAACAAAACCCAATCCGCCACTCACATTAGGGACTTTCTAGCCATAGTCAAAACTCAATTTTTTATATCTATTCAAAGGATTTGATCTGACAATGGGAAAGAATTCTTTAGTCATAATTGTTCCTCTCTCTTTTTATCCCTTGGCATTTTATATGAGAGTTCCTGTATCTATACTCCTCAACAAAACGAAGTTGTTGAACACAAACACCGACACTAATTAGAAGTAGCCCGTGCCCTTAAACACCAAGCCAACCTACCCTTTTCCTTTTGGGGTGAATGTGTGGTCACACTACTTATTTGATCAATCGTATGCCATCCAAGGTACCTCATGGTAAGACACCCTTTGAGATTCTCTTTGGCAAAACACCAGACCTTAACCATCTCCGCATGTTTGGCTGCTTATGTTACTCCAAAATTGTTGGGACTCTTGACAAATTTGGGGCTAGAGCTACTCCAAGTTTTGGCAAAACACCAAACCTTATTTTCGCAAATTTGGGACTTCTCACAATTAATATATATATATTACTTGTGAGTTATTATCTTAACAAATATTTATATATGTGGGCCTTTATTATTAATTTTAATTCTAAAAATGGTAAGGGTTTGTTAAAAAAATAGATTCAACCATAAAACACTTAATTGCCATTAATAAAAATAGTAAGGATGAAAATAGCTGGAATACATTAGACTACTAAGTCTAGCACCATCTAGCATGGTCTAGCATATTTTAATTAGGATGTCAAACCGTTTAGTTAAATGCTAGACTGTCGAGTATAACATAGTTTAGTGTTATATTTTAAGAATATATCATTTGTTGTTTCATTAAGGACATAATTAGTAACTCATTGGGTTTTACGGCTAAAAATGTACTTTAAATAAAACCTGAACATTTTTCACAATTGTGATTATTGAGTTGACTATATATGTCCAAATCCCTTATCTTTATCATCTGGCTACTTTAACTTCTCTTTTCACTCAAATTACAATATTGCAATTCTTATATATATATATATATACTAGTAAATTTTTTTACAACTATTACAGACCAGATAATAGTAGTTTAGTTTTTGGGATCAGGATATTGGGATTTATAATTTTTATAATTTTTTAGTTAATTTTAAGACGATCTATAAATAATGCATCTTATCAATTTAGCGTGCTGAGAGACATGGAGTCAACACTAAAAGTAACTACACCTTTAACTTTTCTCTTAACAATATTAAGTAAACGTCTTATAAATAGTATCAAAAATTTTTAATCACGAAATCACAATGCTTTACCATTTATATGAACATTCTTCTTATTTTTGGGAAACTAATGATGAGTTTACTTACCAAAGTGAAGAGCTTTAGGGTTCGTTTGACAAGTACTCAACATGGGTTCTTTTTACTAGAATTGAGATTGCCAAAATGTAGTGACCACCACCAATGAGGGTATTATTCTTGCTAACTTCATACTCCTTAACTTCTCTTACCTTTTTCTCTTTCTCCGCATATGAATTGAGATGATGATAATTTTTATTCTTCAGAAACTTTTGACAACTATGAATATATTAATTTATTTTACGTTTATTCTTTTGGTTCCTTAAACTTGAAATTTATGAAGAAGATAGCAAGCTCTCTTTACTTCATTGTTAGGGTTTGAAACTCTTGGTTATCATTCTACCTCAATTTGCACTCATGGCTCCCGATTCTTTAATCTTCACACACACATACCCCTCTCTAGCATATATCTCATCTTTTATTGACTAGACTAGCATTTAATGTTTCACAACTAGATGCTCACTTCTACTATTATACCTATAAATGTTCACAAATATTCATAAATGTCTTCCTAGAATATCACGAGTATTGCTCATTAATATATTATATATATATATATATATATATATATATATATATAATTAGACCATTTTTTTAGATACTGTAAAACAAATTTTTCACATAAGTTTTTAAGTTCCTGATGTAATGGATATAAGAAAGAAGTCGGAGAAAATTATTTTTCTGTTTACTCAACGTCCAAATCGCTGAATCCATTGGATGAATATAGTTTGTTTAAATCATGATTTTCGCAAACTAACTATGCCTCAAAGAAGAGGGCTATCTATATCGGAGTTTCTTTGACAGACTTGAAGGTTACGAGGAGGAAACATATATTTAGACAAGATATGATGTTTTTTTTTAAGCTTAATATATATATATATATATAAGGAATTAACTTAAAAAAAAAAAAAAAAAAATCTAATAGATACATAGATGTTGTGTTATTGATCTACATCTACAGAAATAAAGTGTACAGATAAAGTGAGGAGATAGTTGAAAGCCAAGCAAATATGAAACACTACATATGGTTTCATATGATGAAAGCAAATTCTTCAAGTCATCAAGCATTTCTCAGTCATCAAGTATATTTTCACATAGTTCATCACAACTTTTCTGCAACCTTTTCTTTCTTTCGCCCTCAATATATATATATATTTTAAATCTTTGCATTTTAATTTTAGAATTTCTGTTCTACACTATGCATATATACATTTGAAATGACGTTGTGGGTTAATGATAGTAGCATCAAAAAGGATTTTGAACACATCAACCTGTTAGTATATGAAACAAAGCAAAATGACTTGAGTTGACTAATATTAGTTGACTTAGTTGACTGTTATTTGGTTGGTATTCCGTTACATTTAGTTGAGCTTTTTGTTAGAACACTAAGTGTATAAAAACCGAACTGTGCGATTGTTTCAGTTAAGGAAATATAACAAATTTTTTCTTCTCAAAATTTTCTTTCATTTTCTCTCACTTTCTTGTTCACTGTTACTCTTCATTTGGTATCAAAGCCATCGACAAACGTCACCAATGGCTGATTCCTCTTCAGTTCCTTCCTCATTTAACAATTCAGACAAAAATTCTAGCTTTAAAACCTCTTAAGACACTATTAATCTCATCGATTCACCTCCAATGAATTTGTCCACACTTCCAATAATTTCACCAAAGTTGACACGGGACAATCATCGCTTTTGGAAGTCCCAAATATTATTCGCAATGGGAGCCCATGATCTTGAAGAGAGCACTTGACTGGATTAATTCCATGTCCAGCTCCTTTCATCAGAGCACAATCAGACACTTCAAGCTTATAGGTAACTAAGAAGTCTAATCCTGAATATATACTTTGGACAAAGACCGATAAAATGCTAGTTAGTTGGCTACTCTCATCCATATCATAATTGATATTTGCTGTTATTTCCAAGTGTCAATTTGCTATGGATATATGGCTCACATTAGAGAAGGAATTTCTTACTGAATCTAGGGCTAAGACATTACATGTTAAGAGTCTTTTACAAAATACAAGAAAGGAAAACATGAGCATGCATGATTACTTCCTTACGATGAAAGGTGTTGCCGAAAATTTGTCATCTAATAGAGTAGTGATAGCAGATGAAGAGTTTCTTAATTACATTCTGGACAAACTAGAGTCTAAATGTGATGCAGCTGTTGTGAATATCACAACTAGGTTAGAGTCCAAGCTTGATCCCATATCTATCCAAGAAACACAAACAATTTTAATAAAACTTGAGCTTAGGCTTCAAAGGGTAAATGCAACAATGAATTTTGTTGTTCACAATGAGTTTCATGGAGGATTAGCTAATGTTGCTACTCTCTCAATTGATGATGAGAACAAGAAAACACAATCTGGCCAAATTGTGTCATTAACTACGCAACAAACCTCCACTCATAATCCAAGTACCTTTAATGTTCCCAAATTTAGCCCTTCCTTCTTTGGATCTAACCAGACCCAGTTCAATTATCCCCTACCTCAAAATCAATTTTACAATCAGTAGTTTCACGGAGGTAATTTTGGTAATAGAGGAAAAGGCAGAGTGGGTGGTATAGTCAAATTTGTTTGCCAAGTATGCGAGAAAACAAGTCATTTAGCCTTGAATTGTTACCGCCAATTTGATGTAAACTTTATAGGAAATAGCACCTTATTTAGAAGTAACTTTCACTCTCCTGGTTTCATCAGACAACCCTCATTTGATTTTGGAATTGGAAATCCTAGAATTGGTAATTCTGGAATTGGAAGTTCTTACTACCTAACTGATAGTCATGGTGATCATCGCTATGTGCATAATCCCTACTCAGAATCCTTAATGATGTCTCAAAACACAACACCTACTTCATTTCACCAAACACCTGGATCCACAGTTGTCCATGCTGACAGTCAGTCAAACTCAACTGCTGCTCATCTGCACAATCAGGCTCTGATGGTTCAAACTCAACTACATAACTATCATCCTACAGCCATAAACTACATTTTCACATCTTCTACAGTACATGATGCTACATGGTACATGGATTCTGGAGCTACAGACCATGTTACCTCTGATTTTTCTCAACTTACAAGAAGCACTAGTTATGTAGGCAGTGAACAGCTCCAGGTTGGCAATGGTGAGCTTTTTTCTATTTCTCATATTGGTTTTGTTGATTTAAACTGTCCATTTAGAACTCTGCACCTCAGGAATGTCTTGTGTGTCCCTCACATTACAAAAAATCTTCTAAGTGTTTCTAAACTAACTAGAGATAATCTTGTCACTGTTGAGTTTTTTATTGATTCTTGTGTGGTTAAGGACAAGCTCTCCAAAGTAATCCTACTCAAAAGAATGCTTAAAGGTTGATTAACCAACTTCAAGCTCCAATTTATTCCTTAACTACTTCTACAGAAGCCTTGAATTCTTCTGCTCAACTTCAGCATAAAAACAGCCCTACTATTTCAATAATTAAGTCATGTAATAAGCCTTGTAGCACTTCTTTTCCCACACAAATGTTGCCAAAACATGTTTTCAATAAATGTAAATCTGCATGTGTTGATTCTGTCAATCAAAATTGTATGCAATACACTAGACCATTTGTATCTGAATCTGTATCTTGTACTGGTGATGCACCTACACTTAATGAAATAAATGATCTTCAATCATTTCATGTTCAAACAACCAATATCATGCTACCGCACAACCGATTAGGACATCCCAATCCAACCATTCTTGCAAAAGTGCTTGATGCTTTACAATTACATCACCATGCTAAGAATGATATAACATTCTGTTTAGCTTGCCAATTTGGCAAGTTACACCAATCCACATATCCTAGATCCACATCTCATGCCTCTAAACCACTTAAGTTAGTATACTCAGATCTTTAGGGACCTTTCCTTGTCACATCTCTCGAAGGCTACAAGTATTACATTCAATTTCTTGATGACCATGGTAGATTTACTTGGCTTTTCCCTTTGAAAGCCAAATCTGAAACTTTTAGTGTTTTTAAATAATTTCATGTCCTAGTTGAAAAGCAATTCAACAAATCTTTAAAATGTGTTCAAACCGATTGAGGTGGTGAGTATAGGAAGTTAGTACCTTACCTACAAGAACATGGTATCATCCTTAGACATCCATGTCCTCACAGTCTCCAACAAAATAGTAGAGTTGAGAGAAAAATAGACAAATTGTGGAACAAGGCCTGACTTTACTAGCCCAAGCCAGCATGCCAGTTAAATTTTGGTGGTTTGCCTTTCAAATAGCTGCCTACCATGCATCACCTTTCCAAGTTCTATTCAAAACTCCTCCAAATTATTCACTCATTAAAGTTTTTGGGTGTGCTGCCTACCCTTCCCTTCAACCTTATAGCAACCACAAGTTTACTTTTCATACCACTAAATGCACCTTTGTTGGCTATAGTTTGCATCACAAGGGATACAAGTGCTTGAATACCTCTGGTCGAATTTATAATTGTCAAAGTGTACAATTTCATGAATCTAATTTTCCATTCAAAACATCTATTTTTTCTGGTTCCAATTCTGCACCTAATTCAATAAACACTTAATCTTTTTCCAGATCTTTTATTCCTTTAGTTTGGCATATACCTACTTTTGTCTCTAGGATATCTTCCAGTCCTGTTTCAGCTCCAGTTTCTTCTACTTGTCCTTCTGCACTAGGTCAGTCAATCTCATAGGACATTGCATCTTCTAGTTCAGCTTCTCTATCACCTTCCTGTATAACTAAATCTAATTTACATTGGACTTCAACCTCCTCACTATCTAGTGCAACCACAACTGCATTTCCTCCAACCACCAGTACACTCAGTCTGTCATCTCCTTCTTCTAACTCTACCTCATCTACATCACCTATTCTATCCCCTATAATTATAGGTTCAGATGAGTCTTATGACACTTCCTTTTACTATTGAACTACCTTGAACCAAGCCTCCACCTCCTGCATTGAACACCCATCCCATGCTTACTAGGTCCAAAACCAGAGCACATAATACTATCCTTGTTTCACCTTTTTCTCTTGATAACAAAGAACTAGCTACTATCATAGAAGCCCTCTCTCATCCTACCTAGAAAGTTGCCATGCAATCTGAATTTGATGCCTTGCTTACTAACCAAACTTGGGAATTAGTTCATGCTACCTCTGATATGCATCCTGTAGGTTACAAATGGGTGTTTCGAATAAAGTACAATCCTGATGTATCCATTCAAAGGTTCAAGGCAAGGCTTGTGGCAAAATGTTTTCAACAAACTTTAGGGATTGACAATCTAGAAACATTTAGTCTAATGGTTAAGTCACCCACAATTAGAGTTATTTTGAGTTTAGTAGTGAATAATGGCTGGGAAATTCAGCAAGTCGACATTAACAGTGCTTTCCTAAATGGTGAACTAACTAAAAAGGTATATATGACTCAATCTTAAGGCTTTTTTAATCCTCAACATCGTCATCATTTGTGCAGATTAGTCAAGGCCCTTTATGGTCTAAAACAGGCCGCTAGAGCCTGGTTTGATCAGTTGAAAAGAGCCTTCTTGAGTTAGGATTTTGTTCACTTAGTCGCTGATCCAAGTCTTTTTGTCTATCAAAAGATGGAAAAGGTTATGTATGTACTAGTGTATGTCAATGACATTCTACTTACTGGAAATGACACCAATTTACTTCATGAAACAATACATAAGCTAAATAATCAGTTTGCTTAAAAAGTCCTAGGCTCACTCAAATATTTTCTCGGCTTTGAGGTTAATAGAACAACATCCTATCTTCATATGAATCAAGGAAAATATGTCAAAGATCTCTTAACAAAGACTAATATGTAGGATTGCAAACCATGTACTACTCCAATGGCTATTGGCACTAAGTTAACTTTAGAAGATAGAGATCTTTATAAATATACAGCTCTATATAGGAGTATATTAGGAGCCCTTCAGTATTTGACATTATCCAGGCTTGACATTGCCTATTGTGTTAACAAACTAAGCCAATTTCTCAAAGCCCCTACATAGAACCACTGGCAGGCTTGTAAAAGATTGTTGAGGTATCTTAAAGGTACCTCTAATTATGGACTTCTCTTCACTAAAAGTCATAGACTCAACCTAGAATGTTATACTGATGCTAATTGGGCTAGTAGCATTGAGGATAGGAGGTTCACAAGCGGCTGTTGTGTTTTTCTTAGCACTAACCTACTGCAACGAACTTCTAGGAAGCAGAAAGTTGTGGCCCTATCTTCCACCGAAGCTGAGTATAGAGCACTTGCTCAAGGGTCCACTGAATTGGCATGGTTTTGTAGCTTGTTTTCTGAACTTGGACTTTCCTTATCGGAGATTCCAATTATTTGGTGTGATAATCAAAGTGTTGGATCTCTTGCTTCTAACCCTCTGTTTCATGGAAGAACAAAACACATTGAACTTAATGCACACTATGTTAGAGAACATGTTACTTCTCACAATCTCAAAGTCCAACATGTGCCCATTGAACAGCAAAAAGCAGATATCTTTACAAAGGCTCTACTAGCCTCTAGGTTTGAAACTCTAAGACACAAACTAACCATACAAACTCCACCTTCTTCCAGCTCAGTTAGCTCAACATTAATACTTAGGTTGTTACAATCTAATGATAGTCTTGATCAGTTCTGATGGCTTGGGTCGTTTGGTAGTCAGTGTAGGGTTTTATAAAGCAAGGTAGTTGGTTATTTTGTTGTAGACCTGGCAGTTTTAGTAGCCAATGCAGAGTTTTAAATAATGATTAAGTGCAGCAGTATGAGTTGTGCTTGCTCAGCAAATAGTGAAAGCGACACTTACCACTTACTCAAGATAAAGTCTGGTGGCTAGTACTGAGACAATTAGTAGTCAGTACAGAATCATGCATTTGCAGTTCTTAGCTCTTTGCACAATAAGTTCTCAGAATAAGTTCTCAACTCTTTGCAAAATGAGTGGCATTTACAAATTTTTAGCTCTTTTCACGATAAGTTCTCAGCTCTTTGCAGAATGAATTTTGCAATGCTGAAGTTATTTGCTCTACAAATCTCTTTTTTGAACATTTACCTTATTTGGCTTGCTTCTTCAACTTATGAAAAGCCTCCTATTAATTAACTTGGTTGAGTGGAGCAATCATGGAAGTTTAATTTACAGCAGGATGTTATGTAACGCCCAACATGGAGGTACATGATTTAATTTATGTTTTTATAGCCCTTAGTTAATTTTTGTTAAAGTGATTTTAAGAGAATATGAAGAAAATGCTTTAAACTTGCATTAAGGGTCAAATGGTTTTTTCACTCAAAATTAGTTGAAAAAGTGGGGAGTGAAAAGAGATAGAATTTCATAGAGAATGCATTAAAAATGAGGGCATTATGGTAATCGACTAAGGGACATAGATGAAATTTCTAGAAAGAGTAAGGGCAAAATGGGAAAGTGTGTTTATAAACTAAAGTGTTAAGGGTTTGAAACCCTTATTTTCTTCATTCCACCGCCACACTCCTCCTCCATTTTCTCTCAAATTTTCATTCAATCCTCCAAGGATTTTGAGGGCTTTTGAGTGGTTTTTCATAGGGTTTTGATTTTAGGCTTCAAGAGGTAAGGATTCTTGCTCTTTATCTATGTTTTATTTGTGTAAATGTTGAGTTCCTATGGAGTTTATGCTTAGGGTTAAGAGAAGATTTGAATCCAACAAGAGTAGAGAGCTTAGTAGAGACTACTCAAGCATAAGGTAAGTAAATTCCACTCAAAATCCAACTCAAGTTAAAGTTTAAGAAAATCAAGTGAGTAGAGATTTCTTTTAAATATGCATATGTTATGATTATTGAGAAATTGAGATGAGATGGATGATTAGTTATGCTTGTTGTTGGATATACTTGAATATGAGGAGTGTATGTGATGGTTTGATGATGGGTTGAAATTGGAAGAATTGGAGAAACTTTTGGGAGTGTTTTTGCCGTGTAGGTATGGTGATGTTACAAGAGAGTTTTTCTCTCAATTTGGATGGTTTAAGAAACAAATAGAATGATAATTACATTAGGGTTTGTTTATGCACAAGTATTGTTTGATGAAATGCCTAAGAGAAGTATGAGTTGAGTAGAAACCTTAATTTTATGCAACATTGCATATGTGCATTTCATAAGTGCATTTAAGTAAGAAATTTTAAGCATGAGCCATCCATATGCATATAATTGTGTATGTGTAGAAACTTAAGAAAGAATAAAGAATAAAGAAAGAAAGAATAAAACATTCTAAGAATAAAGAGAAAGAAAGAATAAGCATTAAAGAATTAAAGAAAGTAAAAGTGTTAAAGAAGAGAAAAGAATAGGTTGGTGTGATGGAGAACCGTGAGTGTTAAGAAGAAATTCCCATATACACGTCACC